TCACCTGGGGAAGGAATGGTTTAGAGTGATCCCCAAGGGAAAGTGCCTAGACAATTTGTATATGCCTCCAAATGCATGGTGGGGGGATGGATTACAACTCATCACTTTGTTTTTGATATGTGTCTGCCACCTTTGCTAGTCTGTCAACTCCAAGAAACAAAGCCCATGACATTTTGTTGCTACAGAATTTTTGGTCTTTGCTTCTGCAATGCCTAGCAGAATGTTCACCCACATCATGACCCTACCATCTCATTGTATATATATTACAGTTTCCCATGTTCCAGGTATCCTCAATTTCAAATATTAGGAAAGTATATCTTAAAAGTGAATTTATATAAAATGCCTTTACCTGTATGAGAGGACACTAATATGTAACCAGGAATTGGTTTGTGATTGCCACCATCAGAGCCATGCCATTGGGCACTTATTGTCTTAGAAAGTAGATATTGTTTATTTTGCTTTTTATAAGTTGATCCTTTTAATGTTCTAATATTTTGGAACATATTTGGTATTATGTCTTCCACTCATTCATATGAGTTGGAGGTAACCATAGCACTGACTAAAAGGGAATACAGAATCTAGAGTTTAAAAATTCAGTTGTCTTTTGAAAATACAGTTGTCTTTTGTTGCTCAATTTGATCTTTGATATTTTGCTGTAGAACCAGTGTAAAATAGTCTTTCTACATCATCTATCATTTTTTTCATCAGTTGCATTTTCTTGAACATATAAGGGCTGACATAAGAAAAAATAGCAATGCAATAGAAACTTCAAGGTAAAATGAAAATCCTATTTTTTTCTTGTATTAAAGTTCTTTTTACTAATATTTCGGGTTAACTTAGTAATTCAAAAATCTTTTCCCAAGGCTATGTTCAATAAAGAAACTATTTTGAGGCTGGAGCTGTGGCTTGGTGGTAGAGTATTTGCCTGGTTCTGGGTTTTATCCTCAGCACTTAAAAAAAGAAAATAAAGAAACTATTTTAATTGTTTTTAAAATACTGTTATAAAAGCAATATATGCATGATAAGTTAGTATAAGAAAAGATATATTAATGAGAAGTAAAGTCCTTTCTTCTCAAACTTCATCTCTATTTCCCTGTTATTCACTAATAGCAGGTTTATATATATTTTCACAGAAATTATTAGGTGTTATGTACATAAATTTCATAGTTCTCATTTAAATAATAAAAGTAACATATGTTAGTTTTTAAAAGGCTCTAATAAATAAGAACTTTTTGCAATAATAAGCAACAGTACCTCTTATCCATCTTCCTCAAATATTATCATTGATGGTATATCATTCCTGGTTAATTAGATACAAATACATACACACAAACACACACACTTGCACATAGCCACACATAAGACTTTGTGACCAATTTTTTCCCCTTTATAACATGTTGTGATCATATTCCCCTATTGACATCTATATCTAAGCTACTTTCTTTTTAAATAATTTCTCTGGTGATGCACATTTAAGTAAATGTAAACAATGCTGCAATGAACATTCTTATGCATGTATGTTTGTTAAGGCAAAGGGAATACACATTTAAAATTTTGATAGTCACTCATTGATTGATTCAACAAAAAATTATGTTTACCATGCTTTTAATTTGCATCATTTTTCTCCATGTTTTCCTGTATATCTTTATTTTTTCTGGTTTAAATCTTGAAATACTTTGCCCTTTAATTTTTTATATTGAATTCCTTACACAAAATAGATTTATTGAAATAGAATTTAAATACCATACAATCCACCATTTTAACTGTACCCATCACTATTCTTCAATATATTCATAGTTATCCCTCCATTACCACAATTTAATTTTAAACCATCTGGTCTTCCTTAAAAGACACCTGTACTTAACACATATTTCTCCAATTCTGACTGCTGCACTATTCCTACCTTCTTTATAGCTTTGCCTATTCTGGACATTTTATAAAAAAGAATCATAGAATATGTGGTCTGGTATGATTGATTTTTTTTTCACTTAGCGTAATTTTTCCAAGTTCATTCATGTTATAGCATGTGTTAATAATTTATTTCTTTTTGCTGTTGAATATATTGCATTGTATGAAAATGTCAGATTTATCTATCCGCTTTTTAGTTGATGGGCATTTTATTTGCTTTCACTATTTGGCTTATCATGAATAATGATGCTATGAACATTGGTACAGAAGTTTGTGGATATATGCTTTCATTTCTTACGGGTTTATAACTAACAGTACATTTCTGGATCATATAATAACTGTACTTTTAACATATAAAAATTGTTTTCTAAACAAATGGCTACATAATTTTACATTCTTACCATCAGCCTATAAGAGTTCTAACTTTTCCACATCCTTGCCAACTCTTCTTATTCTCTGTCATTTTGATTATAGACATTCTGGTGGGTATGAAGTGTGATCTCATTAAGGTTTTGATTTGCATTTCCCTAATGACTAGTGATGTTGAACATATTTTCATGTGCTTATTTGCTATTTGTATATCATTTTTGGAGAAATGTCTGTTCAATTTTTTTGGTCATGTTTTCATTGGGTTGTCTTTTTATTATTTAGTATAAGGGTTCTTTATAGATTCTAGATATACATCCCTTATCAAACAAATGATTTGTGAACATTTTTATCATTCTGTAGATTGTCTTTTTCCCTTTTTAGGTGGCATTGTTTGTAGCACAAACATTTTGATATAGTATGATTTATCTATTTTTCTCTTACATTTTTCAAAAAACAGTCCATTTTAGAGCATTTTTAGTGATTCAAGTGTAAGATAGAGATGGTTCCTATATCCTTTGTACCCCTAAACACTCACAGCCTTCTCTGCTATGTACATCCTGCACTAGAATGGCTTTATTGTTGCAATCAATGAATTTACACTGTCACGTCATTATCACCCAAAGACTGTAGTTTGCATTCCAGTTCACTTTTAGTATTGTAGGTTCTGTAAGTTTGGACAAATATCTAATGACATGTATCCACCATTTATTATAGTATTTTAGAGAACAGCTTAATTGCCCCCTCTAATTTTCTGTGCTCCACTTATTCATCCCTTGATTCTCTCTAATGTCTAGCAGCCACAGATATTTCTACTGTCTCCTTAGTTTTGTCCTTTCCAGAATGTCCAACAATTGGAATCATACAGTATGTAGAACTTTAAGATTGACTTCTGACCCTTATGAACACGCATTTATGGTTCTGGAATGCCTTGCATTTGTAGTGTGTATATTTGCTTATACATATCTAATAAAATTCAATTTAATATCTCTTTTTCCAGAATAGTAAGAGCCTTAGTGTCTTGAATTGTACACTGAACATCTCCTTGTATTTTTTTATTAATTTTTATATATGACAGTGGACTGCATTATAATTCATACTATACATATAGAGCACATTTTTTTCATATCTCTGGTTGTATACAAAGTATATTCACACCAATTCGTGTCTTCATACATGTACTTTGGATAATAATGTCCATCTTATTCCACCATCATTTCTAACCCCATCCCCCTCTTTCCCCCCTCCACCCCTCTGCCCTATCTAGAGTTTGTCTATTCCTCCCATGCTCCCGCTCCCTATCCCACTATGAATCAGCCTCCTTATATCAGAGAAAACATTCGGCATTTGGCATTTGCTTTTTTTGGGATTGGCTAACTTCACTTAGCATTATCTTATCTAACTCCATCCATTTACCTGCAAATGCCATGATTTTACTCTCTTTTATTGCTGAGTAATATTGCATTGTGTATATACGCCACATTGTTTTATCCATTCATCCAGTGAAGGGCATCTGGTTTAGCTATTGTGAATTGTGCTGCTATGAACTTTGATGTGGCTGTGTCCCTGTAGTATGTTGTTTTTAAGTCCTTTGGATATAGACCAAGGAGAGAGATTCCTTGTATTTTTGTTCAAACTTTAGTTGCACACTTTCAAAAACATGGCAAGGACTTTATATCATAGTTGAGGCAGCATATTTAGGCTTTCTGGACTAGTTAATAAGCTAGATGACAATGACACTGAACAAATTGATTACCTTCTTGTGTCTGTTTCCTCTTCTTTAAAATAGTAATAATAGTAATAGCTATTTCAGAGGGCTGTTTTAAGGATTCAGATATAAACGTATTATCATGTAAGAAATTACTTTGATGCAATTTTAGCTTGTGAGTATACTGCTTAGGTACCCTGTCCTAGAGCTCATGAAACAGAAAGGTGCACAGACCAAATTAAAATGCTCAGATCATAATTTATTGGGTCAATTCAAAACACAAAGCAAAATATATGGAAAGAGAGATGGTCAGACTAACACATTTAAAATAAGGTACCAGTGAGTCAAAGAGCCATATTACTGAATCTTATTCTTCTGTATTTACATATTCTTTCTCTGTGCTGCATCACTTTTCCCATTTGATGTGGATTCAAAAACCAGTATTGATATTTGAGCAAGGGGCCTAATAGACAAAAAGTGTCTGGTCAGTGACATACTCTTGCTTCATGTAAGCTGGTAAATGCTTGTCCAATAGCAGTGCCACATAGCCTGATGAACAGAGATGGATTATTTGGCAGAGGATCCCAGGTGAGAGTCAACAATGGGGTGGCTAATTAAATATCTCATGATCATTATGTGCCTCATAAGCTTTGTTTAGTGTATCAAAAACATTTGTTTCTTTAGTTATTATTAAAAATACTAAATGTCTATTTTGTCCATCTCTTTCTATCTCTGTTCACAGACACATGCTATGCTTACTCTGTCTGATGCTTCTCAGCTTACTAAGTTATCTATGCTTAACCCAGATAAGTTTCATCCATTCCATTTTGTTTTTGTTTTATAGAGCAGAACAGAGTACTCCCAAACAATACAGGAATTACACACTGTATATGTAATGATTAATAGTAACATATCAATATCTTTTTACTACTAATGAAATTTATATTCTATCTTTCTAATAGAATAGATTTTTGGTTTCAACTTACAAAACTGGTACTCATTCTTTCATTTCTTACAGGCTTATCCTCAATTTGTTCTGACCTATCTGGAGGAGCTAAATGTACAAGTGGATGTGACTCAAACAGAGTATCACATTCACCATGGTGCTTGGACCACAGCTCATCAAGAATGTGGCAGAAACTTAACAGAAGAAGTGAGTGTAGTAAGCCAGAGGCAAGACAGAAATAGATCTCTAAAATGTGTTTTGAAAAGAGAAAATATGTTCAAGTTGTTTTCAAGAACCAAACATAAATTCACAACTTAATGTTACAGATTGTTTAAGATATAACCTCAATACCCATATGCACATTTATATTTATATAAAAGTCATATATAAACATTTTATTAAATAAATGGTGATATACTAGCTTTATCTTTGGATTGCCTTCTTTTCTTTTGTTCTGGCTCTGCACAAGTGATTTCATGCTCTATGAAAACTGAAGAAAGCATGAAAAGTGCATATTATGTTTTTGGCAAACATAGTTTAGATATTTCCAATCAATGAAGTTAGCTCCATTATTCCTATATTTCGTGTTTTAGGTTCTGCAAAAATGTGCCAGCAACCCTGATCTGAAGCAACTGCCAGAACCGTCAGACACCCATTTAATGCCAGAAGGTTCTCCTGAGGAGATAGGGCAGCTGACAGTGGCACTGGTGAGGAAACTGGAGGAGAAACATCCTAAGGCTTCCGCTCAGAGGTAGGGCACTGACAGACTGAGCTTTATTGCTCAATGACATTCGATGTTTTCCTTCAGTTTCATGTAAGATTGATTTCTTGATGATTGTTGAAATACCTCAACAGCCCTTTGGCTTTCAATCAGTGTAGTTTTAGGGTCACATTTGATGAAGAGAGGTGACATGTATATTTTGTTAAAGATTGATACATGTAATTTTTCAAAAGCATAATGAGGATGGATTGCTTCCCTTGAATCTCACTAAAATACAATAAAATAACATGATTAAGTGAAGGCAGTACTGAGCATATACCCAATTATGAAAATGCCAAAGGTCTTTAAGAAGACCACACCCATGAACATTCCTTTTTATTTTCCACCAGGAGAATATTATATTTGTATCTGAGGTTAAGTGCACAGTAGATGAACTCAAGTAGTGATGGCTTACAAATTAACACCATTTCTACTGCCAGGATACGAGCAATATCAGTGATCTGCTAACCAACTGAAAATTATCCTTGATTGAAAAATGGAAATGATTTCTCCAATTCTCTTTACTTAATTGGAAGCTGAATTTTATTATTATTATATTGTTAGATTTGATGTTGTAAATCACAAAATGACTTTATAAAATGTAATTTTAATCTATAATTGCTTGAATTACTTTTGACTGAAATATTCTCAAAGAACTAGTAAAATTCTTATCATAGTCAATAAAGTTTAAAGGAACTCCTAAATGTAAATATACTACTTGAAGAGAAAAATGTCTCTTGCATAAAAAAAGAAAAAAAATGATAGTATTTATTTAAATTAAGCTACTTTTTATTCTTAAGTTACATATTTCCACCTGGATTTTGATAGGAGGGGAATTTCCCCCCTAAGAGATAGCAAAAATGACTCTTCATTTTACTCAGTCTTTATTATTTGGTTTTGTTATTTTGATCAGGCACAGAAGTACATTTAGTATCTTATGATATCATATCATGATGTTGTCTTGGATAGCATGAAAATTTAGACTCCAGGTCTTCTTTTCCCTGTTACTTATCTTTAAATCACATACAAGATTCTCATCCCTCTGATGCTCTACAATGTGACCACAAGTCTGTAGCCACACATCCAGGCCACTCTGGCTATTCACACCACTAGAATATAAGTCCCTTGGGAACAGTCTTTGTCTGATGTTTCTCATTTAAAGTAGGAACTCAAGGAACCCTGGGGCACTTGGGAACTGATAATACTGCTCTTTGAGTCCGTTTTTGTTCTTTTTGGACAATCATTTATTCTCTATCCTCTTTGACAGAATGTTTGAGGTTGTTATTATTCATGGCTTTTGTCTTTATAAATACTAAGTTCTGCTGAGGAAAGAGGAATGGGTTACTTCTTCTTTCAGCTTCTAGAACACTTGCCCCATTGTGAATAGGACCCTTCTGTTAACTCACCTGATTCCTTATGATTTCCCTGTTCCCCAACTTGGAGATATTTTTTCTGAGAGCATTGGGTAATTGAGAGATTTGGCTTTTGCAGTCTGTGGTTGTGTTTTCCCTGAGGCACAATCTGATGACTGAACATTGTGAAAAAGGCATATAGTATTAGAAAAAGTGACCTCCCCCGCCCAAAAAATGTGATTAGTGGCAGCTAATATATTGTAATACCTGAGTTAGAATTAAAGAAAGACTCTTTCAATTTCTAATAAAGTAGTAAGCATTCAATAAGTGGTAGTTGTGAAAATATTCTAAAAACAAGTAGAGATAGAAAAGAATTTTTTAATAAGGTTGTTCAGTAGTTCTCCCTCACCTATAATTCCAATATCAGTTACCTAACATCAACTCTGAGCCAGAAATATTCAATGGAAAATTCCAGAAATAGACAATTCATAAATTTTAAATAATCTTTACTACAGTATATTTGTACAGCATCCTATTTTATTAGTATTGTTCTTATTCTTTTTTTATGCCTAATTTATAAAATAAACTTTATCATAAGTATTAATTTATAGGAGAAACATATGAGATTCAGTACTATATGCAGCTTCAGAAACACTGGGTTTCTTAGACTGTATCTACTATGGATAATAGGGACTATTACATTTTGATTTATAGTTTTTAGTCAATAGGAATTGACTAGTAAACATATTTGGAGTTTTCTTTCTTGAGAAATTGCCCAGGGGACTCTTCTTAGTGAGATTTTCTTAGGATTTGTGTTTTAGGCTCCATACATTCTTCCTGCTTTCTATCCCTGCCCCCTCCTTAAAGCCATAGGGATTTATCTACTTTCTTTCCCCTCTACCCTCATAATTTACCTCAGTAGATGCTATTTCAGTTTCTTTTCCTCTTTTTACTAAAGTTGTTTTGAGTTAAAAGTAAAATACTTAGAGTAATCACTTTCCTCTTATTTTGGCGGACTGTAGGGGGCAAAATTAGAAGGCATGCAGAATTTGTCGAGCTGGTTACTTTGAACCTTAGGTTGTCTTGTTAGGTTGTATACTTTCCAAATGTAAGAAAATCTGTGTTATACTATTGCAGTTTTGAGAGAGAGCTTTACATTTTCTTGCTTTTCTCAATGATAATTCAGTTAAAGAAAAAATTCATAGCACATCATAAAGAAATTATGTGAAATGATCTGAGCTGTGGAAATTGGATTTTAGCACATCAAGAAAAATATTCATGAGAAAATCTGAATAAAGAATATGTAATTGAAAATAATTAAAAGAGAGAGATAAAATTTAAGTGCTTCCTTAGAAGTAGCCAAAGAAAGAGTAAACTACAATAGCCAAATTTGGGAGAAGACAGAGATTGTTAAGTAGTGGCAGGTAATCTGTGAAAATAAATGATAACAGTAGGTTATAAATGATAACAGCTCAAATTTACGGACTTTGCTCAAGTGCTTTAAGTACATCAATTCCTGAAAACCTATGAGGTAAGTGAAACAGAGGAATCATCATCTGAGACATGGAGAGATTCAATTACTTGATGAAGGCCTCTGAGTTCCCCTAGCTCCGTTTTATTCTGAACCACTACTTTATACTGCTTGACTACTCATGCTCATATCTTAGTATTTATTCAAAATCTTCAACTTTTCAAATAGAGACTATTATTTTAACTTGATATCTTGGAAATGGAACTTTTAGATAAGAACAAATTTAAAAAGGAAAACTAAAAGTTTAGCAATATATTCAGTATTCAGTGAAAATTAAATAAGAGGTAGGACATATTAAGGGAAGCTATGAACTCCTGATTTCCTGTTGCATTCAACTATCTAGATCTGCAGTCTAGACTGACTTGCAGAGGACTGCCTTTGAATAAGAGATTTTTAAAAGTCTTTTTCTAATAATATGACTATAACTTGTCATGATTATCCAGGGTATTTCATACTTTGGTGATTCAGTTCAGCTTCACGACAGGACTAATAGTTGTCATTTGTTGGATACTTACCATGTGACTACTGCTTTTCTAAGTATTTATTCTCATAATATCATGAGAGGTTGATTTGGTATTAATATCATAACCTGGGCTGGGGTTGTGGCTCAGTGGTAGAGTGCTCGCAAAGCATTCACAAGGCACTTGGTTCAATCCTCAGCACCACATAAATGTAAAATAAAAATATTCTACCTAAAACTAAAAAACACCAAAAAACAAAAAACCCATCATAACCTGATGATAGAGGTACTCTTTTACTTATTTATTTGTTTGTTTATTGTACTGGGGCACTGGGATTGAACCTGGGAATGCTTTATCACTGAGCTACATCCCCAGATATTTTTATGAAATTTTAATTTTGAGACAGGGTTTTGATAAATTGCTGAGGTTCTTGGCTAAGTTGCTGAGAGTGTGGCTTCAAACTTGTGATACTCCTGTCTCAGCCTTCTAAGTCTCTGGAATAACTTGGCATGCACCACTGCACCTGGCATAGGTGCATATCAATTAAGATACAGAAACTGAAGCTCTGAGTAGCAACCTCATGTGCCCAGTCATACAGCTGGTTAATGGGGGAGTGAGGATTTGAATTGAGGCCTAGGTGGATCTCTTGACTACCCTCATTCCTATTAGTTTTTATTTACTGATTTTATAAGAGAATGGTATCATACACATAGTTATATTAAATAACTACTAAAATGTCATGTGTGTTACATCATGAGAGTTGATCAGGCTTACCATTTAACTTGTGTATTTTGAGTTATATTCTTAAACACAACACACACACACACACACACACACAGTCTAAAACAATAACCCCAAATTAGGCTTAACTACCTATGGATTCATTTTGTGTAATGTACATTTCAAACATTTCAGAAAACCATCTGGTGTTGACCTTTTTCTTTTTCTTTTTTCTTTCTTTTTTTACTTTTATTTTTTATTTTCACATGGAAAAATTAATTCTTCCATGGGAGAAAAGGGAAATATCTTACTATATGAAGTCTTAAATATAAGGTTCTTAGTTCACAATAGGTCATATTTTCTTGTTTCCTTTAGCCACACTTTAATGTTTTTGCTCTCTTCTTGAATAAAGAAAGTTGTGTGTACGTTTAATTCCAAGTTTGGTCCAAAATGAAATAAATGCCATATTCTGGCATCTTTAAGTATCTGGAATGTGTTTGTTTACATTAGTTTATCCAAAGGAGCCCTTTAACCATATTTAAATTGAATAGGGGGTGGGGAAGGAATGGGACAGCCAACAAAGCATGCTGACCCAGCTTGTCACCCAGTGACCTGTGAGAAGGAAATAATGAACTGTGAGTAGCTGTCATCTTAACTGTTTCTGACAGTTCGCCTTTGGGCACATCTGTGTTAGTTGCTTTGGAAAGCCCTTTGTTCTTTTCCCACTAGTGACTTTGTGGGGCGCTGAGGGGTTTGCTAGCTACTGTACTGCAAACCAGCCCCTTCCTTCCCAGGGAAGCGAGCAGCTGCCGCGAATCGCACTGACATTTCTCTTCATGACTCAACTTGGCATGTACTTCACTCTTTGAAAAAAGAGCAGATATTTGAAAGTGCTTTGATTTTTTTCAATTAAAATATACTTTAATG